ATGGTTTAATTAAAATTTCAAATTGCAAATTTAAAGATACACTTTAGTGTTAAGGCTTAAGATATAAAAGATTGGACTTTTTTTGGTAACTTTGAAGGTTACTAGTTTTTATAACTTAAAATCTTATAACAGGGGGAAGATAAGTATGGAAGTGATGAGGCCAAAGAGGGAGATTGCAGCTAAAGATAATTATTTGGATAGAGGTGGGGTTTTTGTTTTTTATTCATTTATTACTTATATTAACTAGGAGAAGTGAGGAGTAAGAAATGTGGACGTAATAATAAAGGTTGACGAGGGCTGAGATGATTGGGATTGAAACTATAAGTAGTATGTTTATTTGAAGGAGAGAGAAGATAATGAGTCATTTTGGTAAAAATCCTAGGAAGGGTGGCAATCCACCTAGTAATAATAATGGGGTTAAGTTTTTTATTTTCATTTGTGGGAATTTGGTTAATGTGAAATGTATTAAAGGGGCAAAGCAGGAGATGATTGAGGAAATTAGAATGGTATAAATGGAAATATAAAATATTCATAGTGTTTTTGAGATTAGGGTAGAGGAAAGTATTCATGCTAGGTGAGAGATTGATGAAAAAGCCAAACTTTTTTGGAGGGATGTTTGGTTAAGGCGTCCTATGGACCCTCTAATTGCGGAAAGAATGGTGATGATAATAATGATGTGCTTCTTGGGAAAAAATATTGAGATAATGGAGTGGGGGGCAATTTTTTGTCATGATATTAGAATAAAGCAGTTCATTCAAGATAGTCCTTCTGAGACTGTTGGTAGTCATATGTGGAAGGGGGCAGCTCCCAGTTTAAGTCTTAGGGATAATGGGACTATGAAAAGAATCATTCAAGGGGTTGTGTTGGTGAATTGAAAAAAGGAGGATGATAGTAAAAAGGGGAATAGAAATGCGGAGGAGGCAATTGTTTGAACAAGAAAGTATTTGGGAGATGCTTCTGAGGCTCACTTGTTTGAATGGGAGGAAATTAGTGGGATAGAGCCTATTAAATTTATTTCTATTCCTGTTCAAGCTGTAAGAGGAAGAACTAATTATGATTGTTGTCCCTAGGAGAAGCAGTAAGGAAAATAAGTTGATAGTAGGAAGAGTTAAGATTAGAAGAGAGAATATTATAACTTCTAACAGTGGGTTATGAGCCCAATAGCTTGGATTAGCTTACTTTTCTAATTTTTGGTGTATGGCATGTTGAATTTTGATATCAAAAGAGATGGTTCGAGCCATCACAATTAGGTGGAGATAGGACTGCCCTATTTTGTTTATTCCATCAAAATAACCCTTTAATCAGGCACTTCACCTTTTTGGATATTGGGTAATTACACTAATTACTTTTGTAAAGAAATATCATATCTATATTCTAATCAACATTTATAATTTATTATGTCTTAAATGGGTGATTAAAGTGAAATAAAATATGATCCTGATTAGCATCTAAATGTAAGTATAAACCACATAAAATAATTGAATTGTTTGGCTTTATGTTTATGCATTATTTTTCCATTATTTTGGTGAATTTTGAGCTGGAGTTGTTATTTTTTTTTGTGTTTCTAGATTTGGGGTGTGTGCTATGATGGGGGCTGGTTGGTCTTCAAATTCTAAGTATGTTATGTTAGGGCTTATCGAGCTGTTGCTCAGACTATTTCTTATGAGGTAAGATTGGCTTTAGTTATTTTGTCTTGTGTTGTTTTGGTGGGGGGATATGATTTCATTAAATTTAGTGATGTTCAGGAGGAGTGGTGAATGGTTTGGGGATTTTTCCCTTTGGCAATTGTATTGTTTTCATCTTATTTGGCTGAGACTAATCATTCACCTTTTGATTTTGTGGAGGGGGAGTCTGAGTTGGTGTCTGGGTTTAATGTAGAGTATAGAAGAGGGGGGTTTGCTTTAATTTTTATAGCTGCGTATAGAAATATTTTGCTTATGAGATTAATTAGTGTGTTGGTTTTTCTTGGAGGATTGAGAAGGATGTTAGTTGTTTTTGAGAGTTTTATTTTTGTGAGTTCGTGGAACTTTTCCTCGATTTCGGTATGATAGGTTTAGCTTGAAAAATCTATTTGCCTTTAGCCTTGAATTATTTGCTTTTTTCTTTTGGGATTTGTTTGTTTGTTGTTGTTATTTGCATATAATTAAGAATAAGACTATTAGAAGTAATAAATTCTTTTTTTTTGTTTTCAAAACAACAGCTTAAGAATATATAGCTAAATAGTCAAAGAGTTTTATCTCATAATTTTAGGGGAATAGGATTGATGATGAAATATGAAAAGTAGACAACAGTGAGAATTTGGCCAATAAGTTCATAAGGCTCTTCTACAGGTCGGATGCCAATTCATGTGAGGAGAATAAATGTGGAGATTAAAGTTGAGAAGATGCATTGGTTAATAAGGTAAAAACTTAAGCTTCAAAACTTTGATTTATTTGTTAGTGGGAGAATAAGAAGAATAAGGATTGAAAGTAGCAATGCAGTTACTTCCCGTAATTTATTAGGTATGGACCGTAGAATAGCATATGCAAATAGGAAGTATCATTCTGGTTGGATGTGGATAGGGGTTACTAGGGGGTTGGCTGTGTTGAAGTTTTCGGGATCTCTCAGAAAATAGGGGAGGGTAAGAGATATTGTTGAGAATGATATTAATGTAAGTAGAAAACTGAGGATATCTTTGGAGGAGAAGTAGGGGTGGAAAGGGATTTTGTCAGTGTTTCTGTTGATCCCCAGAGGGTTATTAGATCCTGTTTGGTGGAGAAACAGTAGGTGGAGTATGATTATTGCTAGATATTATGAAGGGTAATATGAAGTGAAGAGGGAAGAAATGGGTGAGAGTGGCATTGTCAACTGAGAACGCCCCCCCCCCCCCCCCCATAGTCATTGTACTAGAAGTTGACCAATGTAGGGAACTGCTGAAACTAGATTAGTGATTACTGTTGCTCTTCAGAAAGATATTTGTCCTCATGAAAGAATGTAACCATGGAAGGCTGTCGCTATAGAAATGAGGATGATGATAATACCGGAGTTTCATGTTATGTAATTTATGTATGAACCAAAGTATATTCCTCGTCCCACATGGAGGTAAAGGCAGATGAAGAAAAGGGAGGCTCTTTGCATGGATGATTTGGAATATTCAGCCATAATTTACGTCACGGCAAATGTGAGAGATTCTAGAGAATGTAAGGGAGATATCTGATGTGTAGTGTATTGAGAGGAAAATGCCAGTTAGAATTTGAATTGATAAGCAGAGGCTAAGAAGGGAACCAAAGTTTCATATATATGAGATATTGGATGGTGAGGGGAGGTCAATCAGGGATGAGTTGATAATTTTTAGTAAGGGGTATGATTTTCGGATAGGAGCTGTCATTAGTTGATGAGGTTACTAAAAAGAGAGTTGTCAGGAGGGGATGATTGGAGAAGATGTGTGAGATAGAGATTTTATATATCTCTGGGTTATCAGGTAGTTTGAATGTAATGAGTAGGTATGAAAGAGGGATTGAGCTGAGAAGGGGGGTAGAGATTTTTATTGATACTTTGAAGGGCTCATTTGGGGCTAGTCTTTCAATGTAGATGAAGACTACTAATATCCCCCCTAGTATGATGAGAAATAGAGTGTAAGAGAATCAGGAGGTTTTTATTGAGAGTGTTGTTATCAGGCTAATGAGAATTGTAGATAGAATAAGATTGAAGATTATTATAATGGGGTGGTGGGTGATAAGAAAAAAAATTGAAGAGTAGATTGCTGCTAGAATGATTATTTTTGTAATTTTCAGAAAATAGTTTAAGTTCAAATGTTGCTTTTGGGGATCAATGACGGGAGAGATTTTTTTTTCTGAATGTTTAAGGGGTAAGTTAACCCTTCTTCGGTTTACAAGACCGAAGTTTTGTATAAACTACTGAAACTAATGGTAATTAATTTAATGTGATGATGTTGGGGATTTTGATGTATTTCGTGGGTTTGTTGAGTTTTTTAGGAAATTGTAAACATTTATTGTCTATGTTGTTAAAATTGGAATTTATGGTTTTATGGAGATTTTTATTAATAGTTCGTTTGGTTAGAGGAAGTTTGGGAGAAGAAGGATGTTTATTGTTTTTTCTTACGATGGTTGTATGTGAGGGGAGATTAGGGTTGAGAATTCATGTTTTAGTGATTTGGTCTTATGGGAATGATTATTTTTCAAAAATAAAGTTGCTTGAATGTTAGGTATTTTTATGTATTTATCTATATTGAGTTTATGTACTTTTATTTGTTCATGGGAGGTTATTCAGTTCGGTCTGTTTTTTGTGAGTTTTTTGAGAGTATTGCTTATTTATCATTTTTCTAGATATAGTTGTTTTTCCATGATATTAGGGGGGGATTTGTTAAGATATTTTTTATTTGGATTGTCGTGTGGAGCTTGTACTTTCATGTTGGTGGCTAGATATAAGGTTTATAAAAGTAATAATGATAGGGTGAGGTTTTCTTTTTGGTTTTTCAAGTTTAATGTTTTTATTTTTGAGATTTAGCTGTTTTGATTCACTATTTTTTTACATTTCTTTTGAACGTATTAATTCCCACTTTATTAATAATTATTGGTTGGGGTGGTCATCTTGAGCATCTCCAGGCTCGGATTTATATACTTTTTTATACTTTATGTGCTTCTTTACCTTTTTTGGTAGGTATTTTTAGGCTTTATGGCTGTGAGGAGAGTGTAGTGTTCTACTTTTTGGAGTTGAGGGGAGTTAGAATGGGATGATCTTGGTTTTTTGTTTTTGTGATTGTCTTTTTGGTTAAACTAACAATATTTTTGCTTCATCCCTGATTACCAAGGGCTCATGTGGAGGCTCCTATTATGGGGTCAATAGTATTAGCTGGATTGTTGTTAAAGTTAGGGGGATATGGATTGTTTTGAGTATTGTGATTGTTTCAGGATTTTGTAAAAAATCAAGGAGGGTGATTGTTAAGAGTTGGACTGGTTGGAGGGTTATTTTCTAGATTTATTTGTATGCATCAGGTTGATTTAAAATCTTTGATTGCTTATTCTTCTGTTGGGCATATGGGAATTGTTTTAGGAGGTGTGATGACCTTGAGAAGTTGGGGTTGTGGGGGGGGGTATTTTGTTAATAATTGCTCATGGTCTGTATTCTTCTGCATTGTTTTGTTTAGCAAATATTGTTTATGAGCGTTTTTATTCTCAAAGATTGTTATTGTTGAAAACCATAGAGAATTTGTGTTTGGAGAAGCGAGCAGCCACATAAAATCCTGTGTTTCCATTACACAGCAAAAGCTGCATGCCATGAATCTTCACTGAAGAACTGCAGCCCACAAGCCATTGATAACAAAAACAAATGCACACCATCAATTTTCATGGGGCAAGGCACACCAAACCTGGACTGTGGATCAATGGAAATCAGTTTTGTGGAGTGACGAGTCATGCTACATGCTCTTCCAGTGTGATTGATGTGTTTGGGTATGAAGGATGCCTGGAGAATGCTTATTACCTGAGTGTGTTGTCCCAATAGTGAAGTTTGGGGGTGGCAGTATCATGGTCTGGAAGTGTTTCTCATGATATGGACTAGATCCATTGGTCGCAGTGCATAGATTCATGAATGTTGAGTTCTACATTGATGTTCTGTACAATTCTGTATGTAGCAATTTTATGGTACTGGCCCTTACACCTTCCAACATGATAACACTCAATGTCACAAATCAGGGATTGTGAATGCATGGTTTGAAGAGAATAACAGTGGAACATTGCAGTAGCCAGCACAGAGCCCCAACCTCAAACCGATAGAACATCTTTGGGATAAATTAGAGCACAGAATTATGGCAAGGCAAAGATGGCCTTCTTCAGTAGTGGAGCTTAATGATGCTTTAAAGGAAGAGTGGAGCACAATACCACCAGCTTTCTACCAGAAATTAGTAGACAGTCTTCCACGATGCATTGAAGCAGTCATTAAGGTCAAAG